TAGCTCGGCAATACAAAATTTTAAGTCATTTAATTAACATCTACTCATACAAATCTATTTACAATTAAATAACTTCAAAAGAACATGCATTGACAATCTCTTGATAAAAATATGTACAAAAACGCCAAACTCCTAATTATCTGACCACTATCCCTCCCAAATCTAGCTAGTTTTGTGCTTAATTACTTCACCCTATATTCTTTTATTAAACCAATTCTACACCAAGCATGTCAAACTCTCGGCCTGCGGGCCACATGCAACCCACATCGAATATTTGCGGCCCAGCCATATAACAGTATGCAAGTAATGTTTTAAAAATTGCATAACTTTTTACAATATCCTGTTATATATAATTATTAATAACGAACTAAAACGTTCACTAATGACTGATTACTATAATCGTGTTGCATTCATTTCCCTTACACGCCTTAGGTTCAGGTGCACCGTTTCTCCACTAATACTAGCAGCAAAAATTTTAGCAGTCAATTGCCACGCCATTAGTCTCGGACTGACTTGTTTGGTGTGAGCAACAGGAAATATTTCACTTTCGGAGAACAAGGAAAATACGTTTATTTGCGTTACGTTTATTAATTTGTGCAGTTATTCAGTGTCTGGTAAGTTAATGTTCAAGAAAAAATATTAATTTTTATTAAAATATTCTATCATTTTATGTTAATGATTATTCTTTGATTTCAGCCTTTGTATTAAGCATGTCTCTATAGAAATAAACCTACGTTTCTATAAAAATTGAAGTTTTTGTTTTTTTGCAGCCCACATAAACTTAAACCTTGCTTATTTGGTCCGTGTTAGCCTTTGATTTTGACAAGTTTGTTCTACATTATGTAGATGGATGGGGCCAGTAAGAATAAGATTTCATCCCTTTTCTGACTTTCTACATTCCAAGCAACTCTGTTCCCTCTCTCCCCAATAATCATACTGCTTTGTACTTTGTAATCTTCAAATAAACAAATAGGCAAATCATTTTTAACTACATGCAAAAAAAAAATACTTTACTTTGTACTTCCTGTTCCAACCCTCTGCAGGTGTCCTATTCTTTTTTCAGGCCCAGTTACCACTCTTCATGTCATAGGCTGACCCTAATTCTATTCTATGATAGAAAAGTCACATGTTGTTAGAACTTAATACTCAATAATTAACAACACAATATATTGTAGGATGTGTATAAAGAAGATGTAGTAATGAAAAAACTCTATTATTTCATTTATTCTCATTAATTTATATACCTTCATACAATTTTACAGATAAAAGAAATATAGAGCTCATTTAGTCCACATCCCTCATTTTTATAGATGAAAATTTAGTCCTCTAGTCATTCTGTGACTAGGTTAAATTACAGGACAAGCAAAGAACCAGTCAGATGTTTTTTTATTTTCAGTTCATTATTTTTCTGACTAAATTATACTACACCGACATCTTTTGATTGATATTTAAAGTATCTGCTGAATTTTAATTCCATTACATATGTTACTTATTTTTAAAAATATAAAAATATCTGAGTTATACACACAAACTGCAATTTAAACTGTTCATTAATCCCTCATATCGAAGTAATATAAAATTTAGTTGAACTAAAAAACAAAGCACAGATTCATCTTTATAGTAGTTTATATTTTTAACTGTATAAGGTAGAGTGAGAAAAGTATTTGTATGTCAAAACAAGTTCAAGAGAAGAGTCACTGTCAGTATCAAATTGAAACAGAGGCTGATTATTGTATCTTTTTTGAAAACCTTTTTAAAAAAATAAATCTTTATTGTACAAATTATTACAGATGTTCCTCTTTTTTCCCCCCATAGCTTCCCTCCACCTGTTTCCCACCCCACCCCATGTCCTTACCCCCAGCCACTGTTCTCATCCATAGGTTTAAGATTTTTGTCCAATCTCTTCCCGCACCCCTCATACCCCTTTCCCCCCGAGAATTGTCAGTCCAGTTCCTTTCTATGCCCCTGCTTCTATTATATTCACCAGTTTATTCTGTTCATATTTTTTAATTGACTTAATTTTTAGGTTCACTTGATAGATATGTATTTGTTGTCACTTTGTTGTTCATAATTTTTATCTTTACCTTTTTCTTCTTCTTCCTCTTCTTAAAGGATACCTTTCAGCATTTCATATAATACTGGTTTGGTGGTGATGAACTCCTTTAGCTTTTTCTTGTCTGTGAAGCTCTTTATCTGACCTTCAATTCTACATGATAGCTTTGCTGGGTAGAGTAATCTTAGTTGTACGTTCTTGCTATTCATCACTTTGAATATTTCTTGCCACTCCCTTCTGGCCTGCATGGTTTCTGTTGAGAAATCAGCTGACAGTTGTATGGGTACTCCCTTGTAGGTAACTGACTTTTTTTCTCTTGCTGCTTTTAAGATTCTCTCTTTGTCCTTTGCTCTTGGCATTTTAATTATGATGTGTCTTGGTGTGGTCCTCTTTGGATTCCTCTTATATGGGGTTCTCTTTGCTTCCTGGACTTGTAAGTCTATTTCTTTCACCAGGAAGGGGAAGTTTTCTGTCATTATTTCTTCAAATAGGCTTTCAATATCTTGCTCTCTCTCTTCTTCTGGCACCCCCATAATTCGGATGTTGGTACGTTTGAATGTCCCAGAGGCTCCTTACACTATTTTCATATTTTTGGATTCTTTTTTCTTTTTGCTTTTCAGGATGGGTGTTTTTTGCTTCCTCATATTTCAAATCTTTGACTTGATTCTTGGGATCCTCTAGTCTGCTGTTGGATCTCTGTATATTATTCTTTATTTCAGTCAGTGTATGCTTAATTTCTGACTGGTCCTTTTCCATTTTTTTGGCATTCTCATTAAGATCCTTGAAGGTCTCACTAAGTTCCTTGGAGGTTTGTAGAAGATTCTTGAGTAACCTTATAACTGTGGTTTTGAACTCTACATCCAGTAGTTTGCTTTCCTCTTTTTCTTTCATTTGTGACATGTTTCTTTATCTCCACATTTTGGCTGCTTCCCTGTGTTGATAGAGTGGCTATGTGTGCTAGGTGTCCTATTGAGCCCAGTGGCTCAGCCTCCCCAATCACCTGGATTGGACACTCTTGGTGCACCCCTTTGTGGGCTGGGTGCACAGTCTTGTTGTAGTTAAGCCTTGACTGCTGCTGGTATCCCTGGGAGGAAATGACCCCCAGGCCAATTCACTGTGAGGACCCGCTGTGTCTATAGTGGAAGAACTGCTGTGCTGGAGATACCCTTATGGGGCAGGACTTGTTTCAGTGGGGCTTTGGTGCTCAATGAGTCTGCCTCTTTTTTTTTTTTTTAATATATTTTTATTGATTTTTTACAGAGAGGAAGGAAGAGGAATAGAGTTAGAAACCTCGATCAGCTGCCTCCTGCACACCCCCTACTGGGGATATGCCTGCAACCAAGGTACATGCCCTTGACCGGAATCGAACCTGAGACCCTTCAGTCCGCAGGCCAACACTCTATCCACTGAGCCAAACCGGTTAGGGCGAGTCTGCCTCTTGAGTGTGTCACTTATGGATGTGAGGAGTTGAAATCTGGTGTCTGACCACTGGGTACACTGACTCCTGGATCTCCAAGGGGGTGCAAGGTCAGCTGCTGCGTGAGTTCACCCAGCAGGAGCTATAACGAGATCTGCAGATTTCTCCTCTTTGTTTGGGGTTTGGAAGTTTTTGAGCTCTCTGACCCAGCTGCAGTTTGTTAGGTTCGGCTGCAAAAGGACAGGCGATTCATTTGTGCCGCTGCGCACAGCTTGGGTGGGGTTGTAAATTGGGTGGGGTGGGGTCTCAGAGAATCACCAGGGCAGAGCAAACAGTGATGGCTGTCCGTCAGCCATCTCCGCGTCTCCGCATCCCCATGTCCTGCGCCCCCACAGTAACAATGATCCCTGCAAGCAGCTCTGCAAGAAAGCCACCCTCGCTTTCCAACCCGCTGCCAGACAGTCCAGTTTCTCCCTGGAGGAGTCTGGGTCCCTAGAGTCTCGCTGGAAACGAGTTCAGAGCAGTCGGGAGCTTGTATCTCCCCTCTGATTGAAAAAAAATGTGCACCCAGTTGCAGTCGTTTCGTGCGCCTGCATACCCCTGCTCTTGCTGCCTCCGCACGTCCTACCCAGTCTCAATGAGCTTTTTTCTTTCTTTCTAGTTGTAGAACTTCCACTCAGCCAGTTTTCTCGTGGTTCTGGATGATAGCCGTTTTGTCTTTTAGTTGTAGTTTTAATGTGGTTGTGGGGAGTGGCACGTACAGGTATATACCTTATGCCGCCATCTTGGTTCTCCCCTGAAAACCTTTTTATTGAGAAGTATTACACATATTTTAATAAGTATACAGATACCACTGAAATTAAGTAGAATTTTATGCTCGACTAGAGGCCCGGTGCACGAAATTCGTGAACGGGTAGCGTCCCTACGCCTGGCTGGCAATCAGGGCCAATTGAGGCCTTCTGGCTGCCGGCACCACCCCCTGGTAGTCAGCACACATCATAGCAAGCAATCAAACTCCCAGTCTAACTCCTGAGGGGACACTTTGTATATCAGGCTTTCATATATATATAGAGAGAGAGAGACAGATTGTCCTAGAATTTAGGGAGGAGAAAATTGTTACTCAAACATTATGGTTACTGTCCTGGCCAGTATTGTTCATTCGATAGAGCATCGACCCACACATGGAAGGGGCTCTGGTTCGATTCCTAGTCAAGGGCAAATATACCTGGGTTTCAGGTTCGATCCCCAGCCCCAGTTGGGCGTATGCAAGAGGCAACCAATCTATGATGTTTCTTTCTCTCCCTCTCCTTCCCTCCCTCCTTCCCTTTCACTCTCTAACAATCAATGGAAAAAACATCCTCAGTTGAAGATTAACAAATAAACAAACACAAATTATCATTATTTACCTGTCCCTTTTAGAGATATGTAGCTGAAAGGATTTACAAGCTTATAATCACATGAGTAATTAGTTAACCAACGTTTCTGTATTTTGAAAATATTACTACTGACGACCCTTTTCAACTGTCTTACCTTTGTTGAAAGTACTTTAAACGTACTCTGTTCTGGTATTATAGAATGAAGAAGTCTCAGATTCAAATTGTAATCCTCTTCAGCAGGAAGTTTCACCAAAGCAGACAACTAACGAACACAAAATTAGCACGTTTTATAAATTTATATAATGAAGGGTAAAATACTTAAACTAAATACAATTACAGAACTTCAATACATTGCAGAATATTTTAAACACAGATTTATGAACCTCAAAATAGTCCATTTTTAAAACCTGGTATCCTTCACATGGATTCTCACATACACAATTAAGTTAAATAGTGGAAAATAATGTTTCAAAACACATACTTAATATTTAAATCTCAAGGAAACAGAAGATGGTGAGCATAATGACACAGTATAAAAGAAAATATTCATATGCAAAACATCTACTTCTACCACTAACTCTATCATAAAGTTTTCTACTAAATGCTGAGAAACCAAGATATTAAAAGTCATATTCATTTAATATAGTTACTAAATTCTAAGATGTATAAATTATACAATAAGTAGACCTTTCTTCATGAAGTATATACCACACAAATATAAACAAATCACATTTTACTAGCATCTTTTATATTTGTTAATCAAGTTCTGCTTTGAATTAAAAATCTAAAGAACGTACATCTAACTATAACCTACCGTATACATACTCTTATCTCAAAACTTAAAATGATGCAAATTGAAAGCAATGCTTTAGATTTCCATCAGCATTTTCCACAAAATCTCAGAAAGAAATGACATATCTGATAAATTGCTATAGAGTACTCTGCAACATACTATATTTGCAAATAAAAGTATTTACTCTCAACATAAAAAATAGTTCAAACACTAATGACCTTTTTTTCTGAAAATTCCACATTTACGTCATTCTTCTGAACATTCTTAATCATAAGTGTAATGATTACTTGAGATTCTGTTTGATACCAGTCATACCTATTAAAAAAGAAAAAAGAAACTTAAAACAGAAATTCTAATTTTCTTATTGTTGCTTATGTTTTGTCAAGATAAAAACTACAATCTGATAAACAATAGCTCCACCTTAAGGAACAAACTAGCACAGCAACTGATGATACACAAATAATTTTACGAAACTAATTTCCTACAATCTGTAGTGATAGAACAGTACAGATGGTAATGTATAGGATGCCCCAAACCTTTCCATTGGATTTAAATACTTACATCATTTTCGGGGTATTCACTTATATGTTTAATTGTTTTGTGCTTAAGCTAATGTTAAAGAAATTTATTCCAAATGGCTAACAGTTATTATACACCATCAATAGTCTCACACTCTCGTTCCAATCTAATACTAAAAGAAACACTTCTAATCCCAATTTTACAGATGAACAGATACAAGCTCAGAAAGGTGAAGCAATCAGTCAGTGGCAGTTGTAACACTGGATGCAGGTCAGCTTCAATGATCTCTTAACTCAGCGGTTCTCAACCTGTGGGTCACGACCCCTTTGGGGGTTGAACAACCCTTTCACAGGGGTCGCCTAAGACCATCAGAAAACACATTTATAATTACATATTGTTTTAGTGATCAATCACTATGCTTTAATTATGTTCAATTTGTAACAATGAAATTGGGGGTCACCACAACATGAGGAACTGTATTAAAGGGTCACGGCATTAGGAAGGTTGAGAACCACTGTCTTAACTGAAGCTGGGAACTAACAGCCCTGAGCACACAGAAGCAAAAGCAAATGAGCTAAAATTAAAATAATTTAAAGTTTAACTCATCCTGCCAAGCATAACATTAAATACATTATCCTTTTTCAATCTCAAGGTATGTGGGAAAACTAGTGTGCCTAGAGATTCTGTGTATCTTTCCCACTGAAAGCTCTAAAAATAAAAGAATCCTCACATTCAAATTAAACTAGACTAGAGGCCCGGTGCACAAAAATTTGTGCACTCAGGGGGTCCCTCAGCCTGGCCTATGCCCTCTTGCAGTGTGGGACCACTCGGAGGATGTCCACCCCAGTGGGGACCCTCACCCCATGGAGGTTTGGCCAACCTGGATGAGGGGCTGATGGCTGTTTTCAGGCTGGCCACACCTCCTTTAGGGTGGGGGGGGGTGGTCCCCACTGGGGTGCCTGGCCAGTCTGGGTGAGGGGCTGAGGTCCGTTTTCAGGCTGGCCAAGCTCCCAGCCTCTCCTTTTTTTTCTTTTTTTCTTTTTATTCTGGGATTTATTTACCTTCTATAATTGAAACTTTGTTGCCTTTAGCGGAGGCCTGCGGAAAGCTTGGCTTCCTCCATCACCAGGGGCAACCCACTCCTGCTCGCTCCAGCTCCGTGGCCACGGCTGGCTGAAAGCAGGTATCTGGGGTTTATTTACCTTCTATAATTGAAACTTTGTTGCTTTCAGTGGAGCTCAGAGCCGGGCCACGGCAGGCGGGGAAGCTTGGCTTCCTCCATCACTGGAACAAGCAAGCCTCCTGCTCGCTCCAGCTCCGTGGCTGCCGGCCACCATCTTGGTTGGGTTAATTTGCATATAGTCGCTCTGATTGGCTGGTGGGCGTGGCTTACAGCATAGTGAAAGTATGGTCAATTTACATGTTTGTCTTTCATTAGTATAGGATTATAAACTCCTTGAGGTCAAAGCTATTTATCTATTGTGCCACTATTATTTTCCTTGGACCAAGCAAAGTGCCTGGTACACAGTGTATTTATTAAATAAATGTTGGAATATTTTATGCTCCAAAAATCATAACTATTTGATGTTTATGTATCCTACCCCTGCTGCTGCCACCAAAGTTCCTTGTATACTTGGTACTTGGAGAATCACCCTCTATCTCCCCACAAAGAACACGAATTAGCCCTGGCCGATGGTTCAGGTGGTTGAAGCATCATCCCATGCAAAGGTTGTAGGTTCGATCCGCAGTCCTGGAACATATCTAGGTTGTGGGTTCAATCCCAGTCAGGATGAGTACGGGAAGCAACCGATCAATGTTTCTCTCTTACACTGATGTTTCTCTCTCTTTCACTATCAAATCAATAAACATATACTTGCGTAAGGTTTAAACATTTTTTAATTTAAAAAAAGAATATGAATAAATTATTTTAACATTTCCAAGCCATTTCAGGTAATTAAAATGCACCTGATTAAAGAAATAAACTTTAAGCGTCTCAGTTTCCCTCTGAAATTCAGTGAGGATGCAAAGCTCCAAATCAATTCCTTGTGTTTCTGTTACAGTCCTCAGAATACAAGTTGTACACATGGCTAATAAATAATTTAAACTAAATTCAAATACTTGCTAGATGCTTATTCATTATTATAATTGCTGCCCTCAACAACAGTTATTTTCAACTCATAAAAAATTTACTCCAAATAGGAAACCATAAAAATTCTAGAAGAATCCAAAGGCAACAAAATCTCAGACATATGCCGAAGCAATTTCTTCACTGATACAGCTCCTAGGGCACTTGAAACTAAAGAGAAAATGAACAAATGGGACTACATCAAAATAAAAAGCTTCTGCACAGCAAAAGAAACCATCAACAAAACAACGAGAAAACCCACTGTGTGGGAAAACATATTTGCCAATGTCATATCTGATAAGGGCCTAATCTCCAAAATTTATAGGGAACTCATACAACTTAACAAAAGGAAGATAAACAATCCAATCAAAAAATGGGCAAAGGACCTAAATAGACACCTTTCAACAGAGGACATTCAGAAAGCCAAGAGACATATGAAAACATGCTCAAAGTCACTAATCATCCGAGAGATGCAAATCAAAACAACAATGAGGTACCATCTCACACCTGTCAGACTGGCTATCATCAACAAATCAACAAACGACAAGTGCTGGAGAGGATGTGGAGAAAAAGGAACACTTGTGCACTGCTGGTGGGAATGCAGACTGGTGCAGCCACTATGGAAGACAGTATGGAGTTTCCTCAAAAAACTACAAATGGAACTCCCATTTGACCCTGTGATCCCACTTCTAGGAATATATCCCAAGAAACCAGAAACACCAATCAGAAAGGATATATGCACATAGCAGCACAATTCACCATAGCTAAGATCTGGAAACAGCCTAAGTGCCCATCAGTAGATGAATGGATTAGAAAACTGTGGTACATCTACACGATGGAATACTATGCTGCTCTAAAAAGGAAGGAACTCTTACCATTTGCAACAGCATGGATGGAACTGGAGAGCATTATGCTAAGTGAAATAAGCCAGTCAATAAAGGAAAAATACCACATGATCTCACTCATTCATGGATAATAGAAACCATTATAAACTTTTGAACAATAATAGATACAGAGGCAGAGCTGCCTCAAACAGATTGTCAAACTGCAGCAGGAAGGCCGGGGAGGGTTGGGGGGCAGGAGGTAGGGGGGTAAGAGATCAATCAAAGGACTTGTATGCATGCATATAAGCATAACCAATGGACATAAGACATTGGGGGATAGGGGAGGCTAGGGGACTGTCTAGGGCGGGGGGGAAAAATGGACACATATGTAATACCCTTTGTAATACTTTAAGCAATAAAATAAAAAAAAATAAAATAAATAAATTTACTCCAAATATAAAAGGCAGGTCAAATTACAATTCTATCAAGCCTACTACCAACTTACTTACCTATGTATTAATAACTTAATTGGAAGAGGCTCTTCTTCATATATGGAAAGGTGACATAACACAAAACAAATTTAAAGCAGACAAATGATCTGAATTTAACCTTAATTTAAGTATAATACTAATCAGTAAACAGCCTTAGAATTAGTTTTTCCAGGCTATAATATGATTTTTATAATATGATTTTAAGAAGCACTTAAAATCACAAGGTAAGGACTTGCTTATTATTAAACAAGAGGGGTATTTTTCCCCTTAGGCATATTTATCATGCATTGTTTTATGAAAAAGAAACACTTACTTGATTTTTGACTGAGGAGTCCTCTGGGATACAGACTGAGGCAAGTTGAAAGAGAAAAGATTTTTCCAAGTTAGCTTAGCAACCGTGTATCAAATGTACATATTATTAATTACCTAGTGCTATAGTTTGATATGGAATAAACTACATGAGAACATGTAGTTCCTTCAAAGACAAAGCCTGGGACCATAATTATTAAATAACACTAGGCTTCACACAAAAATTAGAGTAATTCAGCATTTTTTATTTTTATTAGTTTCAATTTTAAGAAAATATTTTTCTTTTAAAAAGCATATAAACAACTTTCTAAAGGTATGATTGAAAAAGGTTACATATAAAATGTCAAGTTCCAAGACTGAGTAACTCTCTAAACTGAAAATAGTAACGTTAAAAAAAAATGTTTTTAGCTCTAGCTGGTTTGGCTCAGTGGATAGAGTGCTGGCTTTCAGACTGAAGGGTCCCAGGTTCAATTTCAGTCAGGGGCACATGCCAGGTTGCAGGCTTGATCCCCAGAAGGGGGCGTACAAGAGGCAGCCAATAAATGATTTATCATCATTGATGTTTCATCCCTCCTTCTCCCTTCCTCTCTGAATTCAATAAAAATATATTTTAAAAAATTTATTTTAGGCATAACAATGGCAATTAACACTGCTCTGGAACATATGAAGCAACACTTACATGGTGGCCTCCTGATAACATCTTACTCCATTTATGGCTTCTCTACAACAAACATCCTACCTTGCCCATCAAGAAACAAAGTGAATCTTGACCAAACCATACTTCCCTAAACTACATTATGTGCCAGCTAAGACTATGTAAAATCTAAAGAACCTGCCCTGTGTTATAGGTGGCCTCTAAGTTGCCCCTAAATAAAAAGGGAGGAGTTGGGGTTTGGAGGAAGAAAGTAAAACCACTTGAGAGAGCTGAATCTAACTCAGATTTACTCTCCAGTGTTAACTATTGAGAAACACCTGAATTTAGATATCAAGTGGAGATACTGACTAAAACTGATTCATCTTAGTACCAAAATAAAACTAGATTGCCCTAACCGGTTTGGCTCAGTGGACAGAGCGTCAGCCTGCGAACTCAAGGGTCCCGGGTTCGATTCCGGTCAAGGGCATGTACCTTGGTTGAGGGAGTGTGCAGGAGGCAGCTGAATCGATGTTTCTCTCTCATCGATGTTTCTCTCTATCCCTCTCCCTCCCTCTCTGTAAAAAATCAATAAAATATATTTAAAAAAAATAAAAATAAAACTAGATTGAACTATAGCAGTGATAACAAGCACTGTGACTAAGCTGTTTGTGTTACTAGACAGTCTTTGTTATTCAAATTCCACAGTGTAGTTTTCAGACATAATCCCAATTCCAAACATTATAAGACCTGGACAAAAATACTAATAGGTGAAGAAAGCCAACTTTTAAACAGTTCCTTCAATCCATTCCCTACCTACTCATCACCCCTAGGAATATGAACAAGCCTAGAGACATAAGAATAGCCAGATATCACTCACTTTTGGTGATGTGCAAAAATCTAGTCACTACATATTTGCGTAACTGGCCTGATGCCCACAATAGCCTGCCTGAGTAGACTTGCTCTATGAGGCCCAGTATACACATGAAGAAAGCTCAGAGGACAAGTGATTTTCTCAATGTCACAGTGTAATTCTAGAAGACAGAAATGTAAATCTTCCTTTATGGATGAAAAAGAAATACTGAAAAAGGTTAAGTGATTGTCTATGAAGAGTTAGGATTACACACATATCTTCTAACATTCCCAAATTTTAATCTTTGTGTTTTAGCATACCATAACAAGCCCTGCAAGTACTTCCAAGGCAGAAATTAACTAACCTAAATTGTTGCTTTTCAGCAGAGAAAATAACTAATCATCCTGACCATACTAAAATATACCAAATCAACTAGAACCACACTAAATGCCTTAAAAGAGCCCAATAATTTTCATGACTATAAACTCCTATACTGCCCTGGCTGGTGTGGCTCAGTTGGTTGAGTGTCATCCCATGTACGCCATGGGTTTAATTCCCATTCAGGGCAATGTTCGGGGTTGCAGGCTCAATCCCTGGTAGGGGGCATGCAGAAAGCAGCTGATCAATGTTTCTCTCTCTCTTCCCCTCCATCCCACCTTACCCCCTCCCTCCCTCTCTCAAATCTCTATAAATCAATAAAAACAATTTTAAGAAAAACACAACTTCTATACTTTTTTCACCAATGTTATTTCAGTTACAAAATGAACAAGTATTTAAATTGTATTGCTTAATATTTAACTAAGAGAAAGATCATTCTGATCTTTATCCTGTCTCAAATATGCAAGGCCATAATGTAATTAAGTAAAAACATGAAAGATAAAAACTTTGGACTTACCGCCATTGATTGTGACTCTATTAAAAAACATAAAAAAAGAAACATTTTCAGATAACTGCATTTATAGGTAAAGTTATGTACATGATTTCTATGGCACACACATACTGATTAAGCAAACCAATTCTCCATATATTCTAAATTTTAAAAAGTGGTTTAATTTTGCATCCTGGTTTAATTTTAACTCCTTAGTAATTGCGTACCAGTGATACCATTGCAACACAAATTCATCCACACCTCTTTTCAACATAGCAAACTCAGAATACCTTTGGAAGAATTCCAGTCAAGATGGCAGTGTAGGTAAAGGCAGTACTCACCTACTCCCACAACCACATCAAAATTACAACTACAGAACAACCATCATTCAGAACCGCCTGAAATTTGGCTGAATGGAAATCCTACACCTGGGGAATTAAAGAAGCAGCTACATCAAAACTGGCAGGAGGAGTGGACATGGCAAATGGGTTGGTCCCACAACTACAGGTAGCAGATAAAAATTAGGAGGGATATCTCAGTTGCAGAGGTCCCCTCTGAGGAGCAAAGGGTCCCAGCCCCACACCAGGACACCCAGCCCAGAGTTCCAGTGCTAGGAAGAGAAGTTCTCATAAGTTCTGGCTGAAAAAAACTGGCAGGAATTGATACTTGAGGGAGATGAGGGCTGCTGGAGCACCAGGCAGTTCCTCTTAAAGGGCCTGTGCACAATTACTGGAATTCACTCCCTCTAAGTTCCAGGGCAGCAGCTTGAAAGGCCTCACAGCACCAGAGACTTCGGGAAGGAACTGAATTGCCTGGCAAGATGGTGGGAGGGGGGTGTCTTTTTCCCAGACTGAACTGTTGGCAGAAGCCATTATTCCTTTGATGAGCCCTTCCCTCACAGATCTGGCAAGCAGGGACCACATCTCAGACTCTATCAGCCTGGTTCTCACTGTTTGTCCCCCACTGATAATTCTCTGAGGCCCTGCCCACTCAACTTTCTGGCCCACCCAAGCTGTTTCCATTGACTTTTCCATATGAATGACCTGTCTTGGCTCATGTTTCAGATTCTAAAATCTCTCAAACAAGCAGTATCTTACCTCAGTGAGCCCCATACCTCTCGCTAAGTGATGCCAGGCTCAGAACTAGCAGTAGCCAGCTTAACCTCACCTGGGTACCTTCAAACCCAGCACAAGTAGCAATATCTGGGTATCACTTTGTATCTCACACCAGGTGACCCCAGGCAGAACACAGGTGGTAGTTAACCTTAGCCTGCACCTCCTAGAGGCCCCAGAGCCAGTACACCCACTGAATAGCTTCAGACCACATTGCAGCACAATCACCCAACCACCTCCAGAAGCAAAACACCCAAGGGAGGGTTTGTGCAGGCACCAGAGACCCACTGAATTAAGTCCTGTGGGGTGAGCACCTGCACAACTGATCCGCCACCGTGATCGAGGTCGCTGTCAGCCCTAGCAGCTGATTGGCCTGGGGGTAAATCCCTCCCATTGATGTGTCAACAGCAATTAGACTCAACTGCAAGAGGAAGGTGTACTGTGCCCACATGGTGGGTGCACCTGAGTGCCCAACTTGGGTGATCAGGGAGGCTATGCCACTGGACTCTACAGAAAACCTACTATGTTAGCCCACTCTACCAAGCTGGAGATGCAGCAGCTCTATCTAATACATAGAAACAAACACAGGGAGGCTGCCAAAATGAGACAAAGAAACGTATCCTAAATGAAAAAAAAGATCAGAATGCCAGAAAAAGAACTAAACAAAATGGAGACAAGCAATCTACTAAATGCAGAATCCAGCCAAAACCGGTTTGGCTCAGTGGATAGAGCGTCAGCCTGAGGACTGAAAGGTCCCGGGTTCGATTCCGGTCAAGGGCATGTATCTGGGTTGCAGGCACATCCCCAGTAGGAGATGTGCAGGAGGCAGCTGATCAATGTTTCTCTCTCATCGATGTTTCTAGCTCTCTATCTCTCTCCCTCTCTGTAAAAAATCAATAAAATATATTTAAAAAAAAATAAAAATAAATGCAGAATCCAAACATTCTTTATAAGGATGCTCAATGAACTTAGGGGAAGAGGAGATGAATTTAGTGAGAGCTTCAACAAACAGATAGGAAACATAAAAATGGAGATAGAAAATATAAAAAAACAACAACTGTAAGAAATAAAAAATACATTAAATGAAATGAAAAATATATTACAGAAAATCAACAGTGGAGTAGATCAAGCTGAGGACCATATCAGATTTGGAAGATAAGAAAGCAAAAAATAATCAGAACAGCAAAAGGAAAAAAGTATTTTAAAAAATGAAGATACTGTAAGGAGTCTCTGGGACGGCTTCAAGCATAACAATGCTCACATCATAGAGGCGCCAAATGGAGAAAAGACACCAAGAAAATGAAAACCTATTTGAAAAAATAATGACAGAAAACGCTGCTAACTTGGTGAAGGAAATAGACATACAAGTCCAGGAAGGACAGAGAGTCCCAAACAAGATGAACCCAAAGACACAAAATTAAAATGCAAAATGTTAAAGACAAACAGAAAATCTTAAAAGCAGCAAGAGAAAAGCAGTTAGTTAACTACAAGGGAGCTCCCATAAGACTGTTAGCTAATTTCTCAACAGAAACATTGCAGGCCAGGAGGGACTGGAAAGAAACATTCAAAGTGATGAAAAGCAGGGACCTACAACCAAGATTACTCTACCCAGCAAACCTATCATTAGAATCTATGGGCAGATAAAGAGATTCCCAGACAAGAAAAAGCTAAACCAGTATTACACGAAATGTTAAAGGGTCTTCTTTAAGAAGAAGAAGAAAAAAGGATAAAAATATGTACAATAAGATGGCAATTAATCAACAATCATCTATCAACAATTTAAAAAACAAAATAAACAAGCAGAACAGAAACAGATTCATAAATATAGAGAACATTTTGATGGTTGCCAGATTAGAGGGTTAGGAGGCACTGGGGAGATGGGTGAAAAAGGTGAATAGATTAAGAAGTACAAATTAGCTGTTACAGAATAGTCATAGGGATATAAAGTATAGACTAGAGAATGTAATCAATAATACTCTAATAACTATGCACAGTGTCAGATGGATGCAAGATTTATTGGGATAATCATCTAGTAAGTTATATACCGAGGTGTACAACTAAAACTAATATAACAATGTATGTCTACTATAATTGAAAATTTTTTTAACGATTAAAAAAAAACTTTAGCAAAAACCAGCTTCTCAGATGCTCCTTGGGAGAGTAGGAGTCAAATGACCTGGGCACTGTCAGGGACATACTGAAGGGAATGAGAAGAGAACCTGCTCACAAAAACAGGGCCCAAGTTGTGTGGGTGCATGACAGCCCCCGGAGGATGCAACCCATCACCAAAGAGAGAAGGGTCTAGCACTTTACAGGTTATGCCTATTTTTTAAGTTGAATACTGGGGTAGGTCAGGCAGTCACTGGAACCTGAACCTTGAAAACATTATGCTAAGTGTAAGGAGCCAGTCACAAAAAAACATATACTGTATGATTCCATTTATATGAAACTAGAGGCCCGGTGCACGAAATTCGGGGTCCCTAAGCCTGGCCGGTGGTCAGTGCCAATCGGGGCCTTCTGGCTGCTGGCCAGGGCCTCCCTTCTCTAGCTGCCAGCTGCTGGCCAGGGTCTTCCTTCATTCTGTGCCATCCCCTGGTGGTCAGTGCACGTCATAAAGAGCAGTCAAACTCCCAGTCGAACTCCCAAGGGGACACTTGGTATATTAGCCATAATATATATATAATGTATATGTCCAGAATTGGCAAATCCTAAGACAGAAAGTAAATTAGTGCTTTCTTAAGGCTGGGGAGCAATAGGGTTAGGAGACAATGGAGAAGAGTGCTAAAGGTTAGGGGTTTCTTTAGAGCAGTGGTTCTCAACCTTCCTAATGCTGCAACCCTTTAATACAGTTCCTCATGTTGTGGTGATCCCCAACCATAAAATTATTTTCGTTGCTACTTCATAACTGTAATTTTGCTACTGTTATGAATCATACTGTAAATATCTGATATGCAGGATGTATTTTCATTGTTACAAATTGAACATAATTAAAGCATAGTGATTAATCACAAAAACAATATGTAATTATATATGTGTTTTCCGATGGTCTTAGGCAACCTCTGTGAAAGGGTCGTTCGACCCCCAAAGGGGTCGCGGCCCACAGGTTGAGAACCGCTGCTTTAGAGGGTGATGAAAGTTCTAAAATTGATTCTGGTGATGGTTGCACAATTTTTTTTTGATGGTTGAACAATTCCGTGAATATACTACAAATAATTTAATTTTACACTTTAAATGGGTAAGTTTTATAGAATATGAATTCTATTTCAATAAAGCTGTTATAAATTTTTTTTAAAGAATACCTTTAGAAGTTCCTATCTAAGGGAACATGCATTATTTACAAGTTATAAAGTAAAAAACAAATTTGATTAAGTAAAAAATGTTGACCATTTACTTCTTTTCAAACTGAAAGACCATGAGAAAACTACATACTTACCATTCTGAGCTTCTTGACACCTTTTAATCCAGACAATAAAATCAGTATCTGCACCTAGAAAGAGCAAACTGACTGTAAAATCACTCATCTGCAAATCTAACATATTATTCAAGAAATACTTATTGCCCAAACCGGTTTGGCTCAGTGGATAGAGCATCGGCCTGCAGACTAAAGAGTCCCAGATTCGATTCCGGTCAAGAGCATGTACCTTGGGTGCGGGCACATCCCCATTGGGGTGTGTGCAGGAGGCGGCTGGTCGATGTTGCTCACTCATCGATGTTTCTAACTCTCTATCGCTCTCCCTTCCTCTTTGTAAAAAATCAATAAAATATATTATAAAAAAAAAGAAAAAGAAATACTTATTGACTACCTACTATGTTCCAAACAGTGCTCTAGGCCCTGAGGATTCAGCAGTGAATTAAAGAGACAAAAATACCTATCCTAGCAGAGCCTGCAGCAATCCTAATGTTACAGCTATAAATATACCAACAGGCTTAATATTTAGCTGTTCATCCTGAAGAATTCTAATTATTTTAAATTTCATTTTAACCAGTCAACCTTAGCAGTTCCCAGATATAACGTACATTTTCCCTCACTCCTCTCCTCTTAAAGGAGCATCTTCCTCTCTCACAAAGCAAAATCAGATTCCCAACATGTTAGAAAGGGGTGGAGGCTTAATAACCAGCAGCTGGAATGTGGTCTAGAAGCCTCTCTCAACCCGTTTGCTCTCCAATGAAACTACCTACCTAGTCTATTTTTTCGGTGGCTCTACTCCTTACCATGCCTATCCTACCAATACCAAGAAGCATCTTTATACTTTGTGAAGTTTTTTCATTCCAAGTTCCAAGGCAGCCAAGAACTATCTATAGTTAGTGAATTGTGTATTTACAGACAGCAATGTGATCATGTATATAAATTATTCACTTCTGAAGGTTCAGAACAATGACAATCGCTGAAATCACAGAATCTAATAAAATATAATGTTAGGAAAAATTATTAAAAGTACTCTTAAATAGCCGAAACCGGTTTGGCTCAGTGGATAGAGCATCGGCCTGTGGACTGAGGGGCCCCAGGTTCGATTCCGGTCAAGGGCATGTACCTGGGTTGAGGGCACATCCCCAGTAAGGGATGTGCAGGAGGCAGCTGATTGATGTTTCTCTCTCATTGATGTTTCTAACTATCTCTCTCCCTTCCTCTCTGTAAAAGTTCAATAAAATATATTTTAAAAAAAAAAGTACTCTTAAATAAACATTTACTAATTCAAACTAATTGCAGGCAAGATAATTCTGAAAAATAAGGATGAAAAATTTCTTACAATAAAGTTTTCTAATAATTTCTAATTTCTATAATTTAATTTCTAAGTGGAATGCAACTATATAGGTCTTAATACACACCCACACATTCATTCTAGTGGGGAATAATTACATCAAAATCCTAGATTTAAATAACCTTTTATTCAAAGTAATCAATAAATAAGCCAAACTTCCTACCATATAAAGGGAAGGGGGGTTAATATTATGAGTCATAAATGTTTATCCTCTCTGATAATAACAGAAGCCTAATACTTTAATTTTTCCTAGAATTTAATTAAAAGACTAATTTGTTTTTAAATTAAATATCCTCAACAGCAATTTTACCAAAGAGAAGACAACTTCTTCTGAGGCCACCTCTGAAATAATTCTAATATAATCAAAGCATAATTTATTCAAAGAAGGAATTTAGGCAGAGAACTTTCAGTTGCTAAAGATAAGAAACAGGGCTTAGAAATCTAGAAGATGAAATGACTCATGTCTCTTTAGGGTTTTCAAACACACATCAAAGCACTAGACTCTAGAATTTGCTGAGTGATTTGCTAATTGAATAGCCAGCCTTATTATTCAAGCATCACACTTGGGATAACCAAATTTGAGAATAACTCCTATTGCCTAGATCTCTTCCTTCCTAATTTGTAGGTTCCATTTGCAAAGTCTGGCCTAATGCCGTTTCTCAAGTAGGTACACAACAGAAAAACAAATATTCAAAGCAGTACAGAATAAATTTTTAAAAATATAATCATACAATACTTTAGAGCAGGGTTTCTCAAGCTCAGCACTACTAATATTTTGGACAAGATATTTCTTTGTTGTGGGGGACTGTCCTGTGCATTGCAGGATATTTAGCAGCATCCCTGGTCCCTACTCACCAGATGTGAGTAGCACATTCCCCATCCACTTGTCATGATAAACAAAAATCTCTCCAGACATTGCCAAATGTTCCCCAGGGAGCAAAATCAAAACCAGGAAGTTAGGAGCCATTGCTTTAGAGAACTGTGATAACACTCTATCGTAAGATGAAGATAAAATGACAGTACACAATTAAGGTCATGAGTCTACAATTATCTATGAGATTATTTACAATCAGTCTTTTAGTATTTAGCAGGTTTTTTTGTTCTTGGCTCTGATTACTTCTATATATGTCCAGATAGCCATACTGCTGTGATAATTTTCATATATAGGTATCCCTTGCTTTTCGAAAATTCACAGTATGCCACTTAGCTTTTACAGAAGAAGATGTCTGTACGCATCTGTGCTTTATCTCTATTTATGTTGTGTATCTGTTAGCAAAATGTATCTTAAGGTATTAGAAAAACCTACGAGAGCTTGTAAGGGTGTTTGTGCACTTAGCATAAAACTGAACATAATTAAGGATGTTGATTGTGATGAACAAAACAAAGACATTTTATGTACATTGAACCTGCCTGCGTCCACCACAGAGAGAGAGAGAAACTTGAAAAGTGCCAAAGTGACTATTGGTTCTGCGAATAACAAAGTAGCTGGCACCCAGTATAGATGAAATGAAGATTACTGCTTGAGTGATGGGTGTACAAAATGTGGTGTTCTGTTATCATATACTTCATGAGAAATCAGTCTTTTTAATAAGTGAAACCACAGAGCACAAATATTATTTCTACCTATACAAGCTGTGTATTTATCATATCATTGCTGCTTTTACTATCTATTACTATTATTGTAGGTTGTATGTATTATTTGGTATGTTATTTTGGGGGATTGGGAATACTCAAAATATTTTGCATATATATCAATGATAATTACTTCTTCACTTTACACCATTCTGGCTTATAAAGTTTCATAGGGATGGCTCTACTTTCAAATGGCAGGGAAAACTTGCATTTCTCTCAAAAAGATGACCTTAGCCCTGGTCAGTGCGGCTCAGTTGGGTGGGCATCGTCCTGTGCACCTAAAGATTGCTGGTTTGATTCCCAGTCAGGACACATGCCCAGCTTTTGGGCTCAAGCCCCGGTGGGGATGTGCAGGAGGCAGCCTATCATATATTTTGCTCTCACATCTATGTGTGTGTTTTTTTTCTCTTCCTTCCTCTCACTCTCTAAAAAAAATAAATTTTTAAAAATTATTTTAAAAGACATGAAATACAACACTCTCAAAGCTCCATGTTTCTTCCGTGCCCTGTATCACAATTTACTTAAACTAACACTTCCCTTCTCAATAGAAATCTTTGATATACGATTTCCTGAATCAGTAATCTGAATACCACTTAAAATAAATAGACTTCTGAACATCAGAACGAATTAAACTTTCACTTGTTGCCGGAAGCCAATTCCAGCATGTCATAATTGCAAGAGTTTCATCAAAAGGTTGATGGAACTTGGGAACTCAACAAGGGCTGAGTCACATATGTTGTCACCTGTTGGGAAAAGCTGATGGCATTTCCCCAAACCTGAAAAGGATGCATTGATTGTTTGCTGCCAGACAACCCAGAGCATCTTAATCTACATGTTATTGCCTCCTACTGGCCAAACACCTGAATAGCTGTAGGCTAACATTTCCTCAAATCTGACAATGGACTCTGTAAATGAAACCTACCCTTTGAAGTACATAATCTCTGCCTCGCCTCAAGACAATTTGTGTTAATAAAAAGCATGGGGTCCTGAGACGAAGAGACCTTAGTTTCTTTAGCTAGGCTCCTCTGACCCCCAATGCCTTTCAGAATTATATTTTGTCACTGGACTCTTAAGTTACACACAGCCCCTTTTTCAGATTGCTGAACCCTTTTTAATGCTGGAACAAGAACCCGGCAACTTGTCTATTAGGAAAAAATAGCTTCTAATGGTAAAGTTTATCAGGGATTTAAATACTAAAGAAAGGCCAATTTAATCAATATCTAAGTAAACCCAAATTCTGCAATCAACACAAAATACCACTAAAAGGAAAAACAATGGAATTAGGTTTCCATAATTGAGATCACACTAACAAAATTCAGCTACAGTATTTAAGAAACAAGAGAAACAAATGGATCAACTTATAATTCCAATACTTACTATCTAATTTCTGTCCTTCTGTAAATGTTTCCAGAGCAGCAGCATAGTTTTTTTTATGGTATTCACATATCCTGTATGAACATATTAAAAATAAATGCCACAAACATGAGATTATGAAAAATAGCATTCTTTCTTAAATATATCCTAGTATTGTTTTCTAAAATAATCTATGTAACTTCTAATTCCCATTAATATCCAATTTTAGAATCCATCTCAGAAGGAATTTCTTGATTTTAATTGTATACACTTGTTTATTCCAAAACATAGTTATAAAGAATTAAATAAATTTCTTAATTAAAGGAAAGTCCCATCAACAGAAGCAAGCTGGGAAATCAACAGTAGCAGTAAAATAATACACAGATAGAGAGTTTTCATAGCACTAAATGTAGCCTCGTGTCCAGCTTGGTTGAGGAATAAATGTTCTCTAGTCAAAGGCAGTAAATTCCAAATAATGAACAGTTTAATCTATACCTTGCAGTTACTTCAATCTTCACTATTTTAAAATATACTACGTATACATCTCCTATCACATACTGCAGTTAATACAATAATAGAAACATAAATTATATTTAAAATTGAATCCTATCTCAGCTATACAATGTATGAATACAGAATTTACTATTTATATAAAGCTTACCACTAATTCATTCAACAATTTAAACACCTATTAATTGTCCAGATCCAACAAAAAGAATAGTTATTGCATACCCTTTTCTCAGCATAGCAGTGGGATTATTTGGATTAAATTCAAGAGATTTCTTTGCATCAGCAACAGCATCTATATGTATTTAAAAAAAAATTGTTTTTTAGTCAGCTTTTTACAGATCCTAACAAATATTACACATAAAATTTGAATCAGGTTTATGTTTTTAAGTTGGTAAAATGAACAAGTGGTTTAAATTAGGAAAAGCTAATTCAAGATATAATCCAATAAATATTACCCTCATATCTTCCTATTAGTCTAGTATTTAACTTCCTTTTTAGGCTCTCAGTCAATGAATAAAGCTGTGTGTTACAAAGCTCACCTAATTTTCTCATTAACATCATTCATGCAATTTGACTCAAGGTATTGAGTATAATTTTTGACTCAAGGTATAATGCAATTTGACTCAAGGTATAATTTTTCCCTACCCAGACTAATTAAAGTTAAACAAGTAATAAAGAAATACATTCCTTATAAAAATGCAAATAAGAACATTTCATTTAAATACTCTGTAAAACAGTAAATATGATGCTAATCTGTTAGCATATCCAATAACCACAAATAAAATCTGTATAAATTCTCTACCCACTGAAGAAGGGGTATCCATAGAATTTAAATGGGTGTTGCTTAACATAGTTTGTCACATTTCAGCTACTTCACCTTGTATGAAAGACCAATTTAAAAATCCTCAAAGATAATCTCTATTTTACTTGATTCATTGTATCATGGGCAAAATTTATAATTAACACTTAAAGAAGAAACAATATATTTTGTAAGAAAAGTTACCACAGTAATTCCCAAGAAGGATGTGACAATAAGCTCTTTGACAATAATATTGTGCATCATCCGGCTTCTGTTCCAAGGCCTTAGTCAGCTCCTACAAGCACAAACATATTGAGTATAAGTAATCTGTTTTCTAAAAGTCACTGAATTCTAATTAAATATGGTTTTTAATCAAATAAACTATTGCCATAAGCTATTTGGAGCAAAGAAAACAGAAACAAGCTAGGAGCTTTTCTTTGCAAGAGGATCAATATCTATCCCTCTCTGCCCTCTCCCCAGTAAGCCCACAGTTCCTGGCTTACAGTAGATACTCAATAAATGGTAATTATCACCTCATTTATTCTGAAGAGTTTAGTTGATATACACTGACCATCATAGATTTTTCTCCTTCTAATGCGGAGAAGACTCAAAATCATACAGAATTTGAAATGCCTAGAAAATATGAAGCTGTCCAATAAAATAAAATAAAAAAGAGCCCTGGCCAGGTGATTCATTTGGTTGGAGCAAAGTCAATGTGTGGCTATTGAAATAGTTTAACTAGAATGGAATACGGGTTCCATTCCCAGTCAGGGCACATACCTAGGTTTTGAGTTCAATCCCTGGTCGGAGAGTGTACAGTAGGCAATGATCGATGTTTCTCTCACATTGATATTTATTTTCTCTCTCTCCCTTCCTCACTCTCTAAAATCAATAAAAACATATCTTCAGGTGAGGATTAAAAGAAAAAAAACCTGAAAGTTTATCTAGAGTTCAGGAAGGTTAAAAGAATCAATAAATACACAATTAAGTTTAGCTGGTTCTCTACTACCCATTATCAATGCAGACAATCCTCCTAAGGTAGTGGTTCTCAACCTTCTGGCCCTTTAAATACAGTCCCTCATGTTGTGACCCAACTATAAAATTATTTTCGTTGCTACTTCCTAACTGTAATGTTGCTACTGTTATGAATCGTAATGTAAATATCTGATATGCAGGATGGTCTTAGGTGACCCCTGTGAAACGGTCGTTCGACCGCCAAAGGGGTCGCGACCCACAGGTTGAAAACCGCTGTCCTAAGAAATTACAGTATTCACTTGAAAGCCCAGATATAATACCTCACATTACCAAGTGATCAAGAGGTGATATTAGAGAGATTAAAATTTTTGTCACCTGGAACATTCAGTATATAAGTAGTAGCTGGAAAAATAATAATGGGAAGTATAGTATGATTAGAACAAATGAAGGCAAACAGGAACAATGTGATTTTCTACCCACTACTCACACACCCTAGGAATTTGCTAGTCTTCTTAAAAGTTAAACTATTTCAGAAGACACACACTGACTTTGCTTTGACCTAATAGTGTGATGATTTTCACAAAACAACAAATTCCATACCTGGTAATCATATCCCTAAAATCAAATATACCTAAACTCCAAACCGTTTTTATCATTTTCACCCTTCCTGCCCTGATCCAAGCAGTAGTGAATATTAGATCCTATTACTGGGTCTCTTGTCAAAACTCTCAATGTCTTTCCAGCTGAACCAGAGCAAAAGCCCGAGTCCTTCCAATGACCTAAAAAGCCATTCTTGATATGACTCTGTTATCTCTCTGATGTCATCTCTTACAATTGTTCCACTCAGCTCCTCCAATCTAGCCCAATGGCTCCTTGCTCTTCACACACCAGCAGGACTCTGGTAATTTGCTGCTCCCCTAGAATGTTCTTTCCCCAGATGTGCACATATTCATTTCCTCACTTCCTAGTTAGTGGCAAGACTATGCCAAAGTCGGGATTCAAATCCAGGTCTGTCTGATTCCAAATTGGACTTTAACCATTAAATAGCACTGCCTCTTGGTAATGTTCCTTTACTCCAAGTTTCATGCCATCTGATCTATGTATTATGTTTTCTAATGCTTTGAAATCCCTAAGTTAAATAATACCATCATGCACTAAACTTTGAATTTTGAAAACAGCTGATAGCTTCTTACTGACCTACTGCAAACATAACCTGCAAATGTCTCCTCAGCAAAGCAGACATACTATGGGTTCAATAGGCTGTTACAGATTATATCATCAATTCAAAAACTATTTCTAAACACACATAATGTAACAAAGATAGACCAGACATTGCAGGTACAAAGATAAATAGCATTCCTTTTCTTAAAAATAAAGTCAGGTAAAAAATTATGAATTTCAAACCAATTTGCAAATAACCTTTAAAAACACAAACCAGCCTTACTGGTGTTGCTCAATAGTTGAGCGTCAACCTATGAACCAAGAGGTCATGATTCGATAACTGGTCAGGCTACGTGCCCAGGTTGCAGGCTCAATCCTCAGTAGGGACTGTGCACAAGGCAGCCGATCAATGGTTATCATTGATGTTTGTCTGTCTCTCTCTCTCTCTCTCTCTCTCTCTCTCTCTCTCTCTCTCTCTCCCTTCCTCTCTCTGAAATAAAATAATACACACACACACACACACACAAAACATCCCACAAACCAAATGTTGGCCAAGAAAGACAATTTAGCTTGGCCGGCACTGCTCAGCAGTTGAGTGCCGACCTATGAACCAGGAGGTCGTGGTTCGATTCCCCGTCAGGGCACATGCCCAGGTTGCCGGCTCGATCCCCAGTGTGGGGCATGCAGGAGGTGACCAATCAATGATTCTCTCTCATCATTGATGTTTCTATCTCTTCCCTCTCCCTTCTTCTCTGAAATTAATAAAAAATATATATTTTTTTTAAAAAGAAGGACAATTTATGGTGACTCAGTTAAAGAAACTAAGCAACTGACTTACTGGGCTATCACTAAAAAATGTTACTGAAAAACTATTGAGCATTAATGAACATTATGATACATAAACTTGTAAGTCATGAATAAAGCACAATAATCAATTTATCTTGAATAAGCAATCTATATAAAAGGCTAATATGCTAAGTGTCCCTCCGATTGTCCAAACAGTCATTATGACAGGCACTGACCACCAGGGGGCAGATGTTCAACACAGGAGCTGCCGAGCTGCAGTGACTTGGCAGTGGCGGTTCTCAGGTGATGCACCCCAAAACCAGAGAAAAAGGTGCCTGATTCCTCATGGGGCCGTGCAATTCCACCTTTAGCCATGGGTTATGTTGTTGCTGGAGCACTGTCAGCCCTGAATCTGGTTTACTGCACACTTGCATTTGCGTTCCACACCCTGTACAACAGCAACTTTGCAGAGTGCCCTCTCACACTCTGGGGGATGTCAGAGAGCTGGTTTCGGCCCTATCCCCGCAGGCCAGACTGAGGGACCCCACCGCTGGAGAGACCTCACTTACTATGCAGATGCCCTCGAGCCACAGCACCACCCCAGGTGCAGCCGGCCAGGGAGGGACCACGGGAGGTTGGCTCCAGGGCATGTCCGGCCCTGTCTCACCCAGTCCCACCCCACCGGCCATTTTCTAATTAATTTCCTTTCAACGTGCACAAATCCGTGCACCAGGTCACTAGCATATACAATAAAACAAGAAAAAGTGAAGATAAAATAATGAGTTGTGGCTATATTAGCTACATCTGACTAGTGGTATGTTTCCAGAATTCTACTGTTTCTGTCACAACAGCTTGCTGGCTACTAGAGTACAAAGAGACTCTCTGTACCCTCTTGCAATCCAGGACCCCTCGGTGGATGTCGGACTGCCGGTTTCAGCCCAATCCCCGCAGGCCAGGCCGAGGGACCCCACCAGTGCATTAATCTGTGCACCAGGCCTCTAGTATGCATATAAGACCTTTGGTTAATCTCTTCCCGCCCTCCCCCTTCTCCCATTCCCCAGGAGATTGATTCATCAGTCTGTTCCATGTTTCCATGCCTGTGTGTTGAGCGTCTGCCCCCTGGTAGTGAGTGCACTTCCACAGGAGAAGCACCACTCAGCCTGAAGCCGGCTCATGGCTGGCCAGTGCAATAGCAGTGGTGGGAGCTTCTCCTGCCTCTGCAGCAGCACTAAGGATATCTGACTGACAGCTTAGGCCCACTCCTTGTGGGCCTAAGCCATTAGTCAGACATCCCCCAAGGGCTTCCAGGCTGCCAGAGGGATGTCTGACTGCCAGCATAGGCCTGATCTACAGGTGGACATACCCCGAGGGCTCCCAGACTGCAAGAGGGCACAGGCCGGGCTGAGGGACCCCCTCAAATCCATGAATTTTCATGCACTGGGCCTCTAGTGCCCAATATAAGTAGCAACCATCTGCAGATCTCTCTGTAGTTCTTTCCAGGTGGCTGCAGGAAGTGGCTGACGTTGCACCTCCCGGGAGGGCCCAAAGTCAGTGCACCCAGTAGACAGCTTCAGATAATACCAGATTACAACTCTACACATCCACAAGTGACACTCTCAAAGGGCAGACTCAGTGAGCCCCAAAGCCCCACTGAAGCAAGTCCTGCTCCACTGGGATATCTCTTGCACAGCTGCTCTTCCACTATAGTCACAGCTGGTACTCACAGCCAATTGGCCTGGAGGTCAATTCCTCTCAATGACGCCAACAGCAATCAAGGATCAACTATAAGACTGTGTACACAGACACACAGCGGCGCAACTAGAGTTCCCAGCTCAGGTGACTGGGGAGGCTGAGCCACTGGGCCCTACGAGACACCTACTACACAAGGCCACTCTACTAATTCCAGGAGACATAGCAGCTCTACCCAGTACTTAGAAACAAACACAGGGAAGCAGTTAAAATGCAGAGACAAAGAAATATGTCACAAATGAAAGAAACTGAAGCAAGCAAACTACTGGATACAGAGTTCAAAACAATGATTATAAGGTTACTCAATTATCTAATGAGATCTTCAAGGGACTTAGTGAGACTTTCAAAGATGTTAGTGAGAATTTCAATCACATGAAAAAGGACCAGTCAGAAATTAAGCATACACTAACTGAAATAAAGAATTACAGGGATTAAAAAGTAGAATAGAGGATTCTGAGAATCAAATCAATGATTTGGAATATAAGAAAGCAAAAAAGACCCAATCAGAAGAGCAAAAAGAAAAAAAAATCCAAAAATATGAAGCTAATTTAAGGAGCCTCTGGAACACCTTTAAGCTTAACAACATTCGCATTATAGGGGATGCCAAAAGGAGAAGAGAGAGAGCAAGACATTGAAAACCTGTTTGAAAGAATAATGACAGAAAACTTCCCCTACCTGGTGAAAGAAATAGACTTCCAAGTTCAGGAAGCACAGAGTCCCAAACAAAAGGATCCCAAAGAGGACCACACCAAGACACATCATAATTAAAATGCCATAGAAGGGAGTGGCAAGAAATATTCAAAGTGATGAATAGCAAGGACCTGCAACCAAGATTATTCTACCCAGCAAAGCTATCATTTAGAATTGAAGGTCAGATAAAGAGCTTCACAGAAAATAAAAAGCTAAAAGAATTGATTACCACCAAACCAGTATTACATGAAATATTGAAGGGAGGGGAAGGGGGAGGAGGATGAGGGGGGGGGGGAGGAGGAGGAGGAGGAGGAGGAGGAGGAGGAGGAGGAGGAGGAGAAGGAGGAAAAGATAAATATGAACAATAAAATGGCAATAAATACATTGAATCTATAAATCAAAATAAATGAACAAGAAATCTAATGAACAAAATAAACTGGTGACTAAAATAGAATCAGAGACATGGAAACATGGGCCAGACTGATGAATCTCAAAGGGGAGGGGAGGGGAGTAGAGGAGGAAGAAGTGATTAACCAAAGATCTTACATGCATGCATGCATTACCTATGGACACAGACAATAGGTTGGTGAAGGCCTGGGACAGGGCAGGAACGGGATGGAGGCGGGCAATGGGGGACAAAAGGGGACCATCTGTAATACTCTCAACAATAAGAGTATTTTTTTAATGAAAAAATAATAAAAAGGACTATTAAAAAATGCAATGTCACCCAATAAATTGAATTTAAAAAATAAAATAAAGTGCTACTTACAGGAAAACAGTTGTTAAGATTAAAAGCAAAAGTAGTCTTGCCCTGACTGGTTTGGTTCAGTGGATAGAGTGTCGGCCTGCGGACAGAGGGGTCCCGGGGTTCGATTCCGGTCAAGGGCATGTACTTGGTTGCAGGCACATCCCTAGTGGGAGGTATGCAGGAGGCAGCTGATCGATGTTTCTCTCTCATCAATGTTTCAAACTCTCTATCCCTCTCCCTTCCTCTCTATAAAAAATCAACAAAATATATTTTTTTTTAAAAAAAGCAAAAGTAGTCTTGCTCAGACTGACTGAAAGTTTGAAGGCCTTTAGCTCTGGGTATCCCAATTTGATTCCATTTTCTCTTTTCTTCCAGCCACAGCTAATCCCCATTCATGGACGATAAACAATATCAACCCTTCTCCCTTCCTAAGCTATGATGGAGAAAAACCACATAACCATGCAGAACTGGTGCCAATGCATGCTTATGCTAACCAGCTATGCTCTCAACAAAGTTATCCTTAGTCAGCTACTTCAAAGTCAGGTATCAAACCTTTCATTATATCATACACCCCCAATCCTACCATCTCCTCCAAAAGATGACCCTAATGTATTGAAACCAGAGACTTATCACTTCTGAACCATAACATGAGCTAGGTCACAAGACAGTGAGTATATTTCAGGCAGGAACTGCCAAGTCCAAAGGCTGCTCAACAGAATTAATCATAGCAAATTCAAGTAATGGAAAGAAAGCCAGTGTGGTTAGAACAACAGAGCAAAGAAACTACAATACCTACCTCAGGGGCCTCAACATGTATCTTACATTACCTATCTTCAGAAAAAAACTTTCAAAGGTCCTATTTTGTTCCAATTTAAAGACAGGGATTGTGATCCAGAGTGATAATAGGAACTTTCCTGAGGTTACAAAATTATTATGAAACCAGGATTTCAACCCAAGCAGTCTCATTCCATGCCCATTCTTATAATAAATTGTGCTACATTTAATACAATGGAATACTACACGGCAATGAAAAAGAACTAGGATTCACACAATATGAATGTATCCCACACATTAGATCCCACACATTGGAATGTATCCCATGTTTAAAGCAAGACAGAGTGCCTATAATCAACTGAGTACCTTCCTGTCTACAATCCTGTTTATGTTAAGTGCAAGAACAAGTAAAACTAATTGATGGTGATGGAAGTCACAACAAGGTTCGTCTTGTGGGAAAGAATTATTGGCTGGGAAGAAGAATGAATTTTGAGGATGAAAGTGTTCTATTATATATGTAGATGTGACATACACGTATGTAAAACAACAACTAAATTAGTTGCAGACTTCAAATCTGTGTTATCTACATATGTCATCCTATCTAATAAAAGACAAAAAGGGTAATTGACCGTACCTTCGCTACGCTTCCCATTGGCTAATCAGGGCGATATGCAAATTAACTGCCAACCAAGATGGCGGCTGGCAGCTACGCAGCTGAAGCGAGCAGGAGGCTTGCTTGCTCCAGTGATGGAGGAAGCCAAGGTTCCCCGCCTGCCATGGCCCGGCTCTGAGCTCCGAAAGCAACAAAGTTTCAATTATAGAAGCTAAACAAACCCCAGTTACCTGATTTCAGCAGGCCATGGCCTCAGAGCTGGGAGCAAGCAGGAGCCAGCTCTCAGCTCCAGTGACGGCAACATAGTTTCAATTATAGAAGGTAAATAAAACCAAGAATAAGAAAAAAGTAGAAGCTGGGAGCTTCAGTTGCTGGCCAACCTGAAAATGGCCCTCAGCCCCTCACCCAGACTGGCCAGGCACCCCAGTGGGGACCCCCACCCTGAAGGGTGTGTGACCAGCTGCAAACAGCCATCATCCCCTCATCCAGGCTGGCCAGGCACCCAAGCGGGACCCCCACCCTGATCCAGGACACCTTTCAGGGCAAACCAGCTGGCCCCCACCCGTGCACCAGGCCTCTATCCTATATAGTAAAAGGGTAATATGCAAACTGACCCTAATAGCAGAAAGACTGAGAATGACTGGTCACTATGACACACACTGACCACCAGGGGGCAGACACTCAATGCAGGAGCTGCCCTCTGGTGGTCAGTATGCTCTCACCTGGGGGAGCTCTGCTCAGCCACAAGCCAGCTGATGGCTGCCAGTACAGCAGTGGTGGTGGGAGCCTCTCCTGCCTCCTCAGCAGCGCTAAGGATGTCCTACTGCAGCTTAGGTCTGCTCCCCGCTGGCAAGTGGACATCCCCCGAGGGCTGCCGGGCTGCCAGAGGGATGTCTGATTGCCAGCTTAGGACCAATCCCCCGGGGAGCGGGCCTAAGCCAGCAGGTGGTCATCCCCCGAGGGGTCCCAGACTGCAAGAGGGCACAGGCCGGGCTGACGGACACCCCAGTGCACAAATTTTTGTGCACCGGGCCTCTAGTACTTCATTAAAAAAATAAAAAGTAAAATAAGCCCTAGCCGGTTTGGCTCAGTATTTAGAACGTCTGCCTGTGGACTGAAGAATCTCGAGTTCTATTCTGGTCAAGGAGGGCACCTCGGTTGCAGGCTCCATCCCCACCCCCAGTTGGGGTGCATGCAGGAGGCAACTAGTTGATGTGTCTGTCTCACATTGATGTTTCTCTCTCTGTCTCACCCCCTCTCTAAAAAAAAAAAAAAAAAAAAAAAAATCAATGGGAAAAATATCCTCAGGTGAGGATTAACAATAAAAAAAGCAAAACAAATGAGATAAAGACATCAATATCCTTTAAAAGCAACTTTCCAAAGGAGGCTCTGAACCTAAGAGAACCACAACAAATTCTGAAAATAACTATCTAGCTGACATAAGGAATGGTGGAGAGAAATTCTCGTACCTCCTGAACATGATTCTACTACTGACCCCAGAGGCCTCACTGGGAAATATTATAGTACAACTGACTAATCAACCACTTTATCTGAAGGCCTTCATATTCAGAAAATACATATGCTGGTCTAAGAGGCACTAAGGGACTGAGCTCGGGTTTCCTTTCCACTTCATCTCATGCTGTTTTCACCCCTCTCTAGTCGAATGGGCCTTTTTGCTGCTCCTTGTACAAACCAGCTTCATTCCTACATCAGAATCTCAGCATTGCCTGGAATGCTTACTCCAAAGCTCCCAGCTCATTCCCTAGGTCTCTGCTCAAACCTCACCTCCTCAGAAAGGCTCTACTACCACGTGGCAAATTATTTTCAGAAGTTATAGGTAGGAAAAAGATTCTCTCGCCTCAAACTACTAACCTTAGGTATGTTAGAGTATAACAAGAGAACAGGGTTTCGTTTCTTCTCCTGGTGTTTCAAAGCAAGGAACCCCTGGCTCAATTTTGTGACCCACTGCCTCGTGTATCTTTAGCTTGGGCTCTCTTTATTACTTTGTATTATTTAATTCTTGCCCTTTTACTTTCTCTTATGGCTTTATAGCCATTCACTTCACACAAACACAAAGTGCTTTTTTAAGTCAGTTAAATATATAAATACGACTTAAATCACTAGCAGTCGGCGCCTCGCACACATCAACTCCAAAAAAATATTGTTTTGAGGAATACACAAATGAGTCAATAATGAACAGTGGCAGGGCATATACACTCTGCACATCGCCTGGGACATAAGCATGGCAAGGATGACTGTCAAACGAAAAAAACGAATTAAATATCATCAAGCTTGGATTTCACTTCTTCGTCTAGTCAGATGTCATTTAAAAAAAAAAATAAACCCTTCACGGTCAACTAGAGATATCAACTACAGAAACAGACAACGTTTTTCTAAAGACCTGCGAGGGTGAAGAAACGGTCTAGGAATGGGAGGGGCAGGAACAGGGTCTGGGTTAGCGGAGCCACTAGAGAGAGAAGAGAGGAAGAGGAGGCTGACTCTGTGTGCACGAGGCTGAAACACCGCAGAAACAGCACACACGGCCCCGGAAAGGAAGACATGTGCTGGAGGAGGCGGGGTTCGCCGCCATCCCCAGAGGAGAGGAGAGGAGGCTGGGACGGGTTCTCTCACCTCTAAGGCCGCCTGGGGGTCCTCGTCAATCAGAGCATCTGAGAAGCTCCGGCAAAACCTGCCAAGAAAGCAACGACTTCAGCAGGGCGCGCAAACCCAGGGAAGGGGGGCAGGGGATGAAAATAAATAGCAAAAAGAAGAAAAAACACGTACGTTTGGGCTGTTGCAGGTCCAGCTGCAGCCGCCGCCATCTCTACTAGTCAATGTTGTGTTGCTGCAGCTGCTACTACGGAGATTACCAGCTTCGCCGCCGCCCGAGGGGGAAACTTCTGGAGAGACACCAACCGAGCTTCCGCTCTAAGTAGCCAACGAGCAGCCACGCTGCGTGCCGCGGAGGGAGCGGACCGGAGGGGAGGGAAGAAGGGGAGGGAGGCGAAAAGCAGGCGCGGGGCTCGCCGGGACCTTGGAGGACCCAGTCTCCCGGCCCAGCCCCCTTCTGGTGACCAGCACTCCTACTCCCCGCCCCTCGCAGCCATGGTAATGGAGGCCTCGGCTGGCCCTCTTACGCCACGCGCCCGCACTCTGACAGATGCCTCTGGGGTAGTAGCTTAAAAGGACTTTGGTAATAAACTGTCATTGCTCGGGAACGTGTGGCGTTTGGGGACGTTTAAATGCCTGTTAATAACAAGCCACATCGAGCTCCATTGTCACAATTCACCACAGCTCTCCTGGTTACTGGAGACAGACTAGCCTTTCGTGCCCCGTGACGTCACTTGCTGTTATGTGAAAGTTCCCGGATGGCAGCGGGTCACTCACAGGATCTTTGCGCTGGGAACCCTAAAGAAGTCGCCGGAAGTCGTTCTGCCCCGCAGAGGCTACAGACCGAAGTCTTTTGTTTCCGGTGTGGGGGCACTGTTCCATTCCTCTGAACGCCACTGGCGCAGGTTTCCTTCCCAGTTAGCTTCCCAGATTAAGAAGAAAACCCTGTTCCTGCGAAAGGCACTGAAAGGAAGAAGGTGGGCCGAAGTCTCAGTGCTGCTTGACTTTCCAACCTAGTCGGTTAGGCTCTCCCTCCCCGGTCTTTGTCGCTGGCAGATCAGGTAGAAGAAGCTTCCAGCAAGTACTCCGGCCAGGGGTGGGAGGAGCAAGAGGGAGTGGGAGTAAGCGGCTCAGCCAGAGACAAAAAGTAAATGAACGTGAGTGTTAGTACACCCAAAATCTAAACTAAGCTCTGGGACTCAAAGATGTTAATGCCCTCCAGAAACGTAAACCAGTGCTGTTGTAAGTGGTAAAATGAAAGAAGGGGGATAGTCATGTGATAGCAAGGAGGGTCACTTAGGGGAATATAAGGTCTAGGAATGGATTCCTCAAAGATGTGGAAGCCTATGAGCCGCAAAAGATGAATTAGAATTAGTTGATGATGGAATTGGAAAAGGTAATCCAGAATAGGATTTGCGTTATAAACGGTAATGTGAACTCTCTTTCAGGTGGGGGTAGTTGCTGGCTCAGTTCCCAGTTGAGAGTTCGATCCGCAGTAGAGGGCTTGCAGGAGGCAGTCGAGGGATGATTCTCTTTCATCGTTGAGGTTTCTATCTATCTCTTTCTCACTCCCTTCCTCTCTGAAATCAATAAAAAACTTTTTTTAAAAGAATGATTGAAGGGGTTCCCTCTGCCCCACCGCCACCCATGAGGCCAAAGTGGGAGGAGCGTGGAGAATGATTAAAGGGAAAAAGAGAACAGCAGTTGGGAGACCATTGCTGTTTTACAGGGGTGGGGAAGGGGGAAATGCCCCTTTCTTTCCTCTAGTTCTTTTGGCTGGTCCAGTCAAATTAACAGGAGGCAGATTGACAAGAGAAAATCAAATTTAATATTATGTGCATGGAAACATCACATACATGAGTCACAGACTATGCATACCTTACAGTTTCAGAGATAGAACGGAGGATTGAGCTATATAAGACATCCTGAGCTAGGGATGAAATAAGGTGCCTTGGGGACTTCAAAAGGTCATTGCAGGATGATAAAAGTGGACATTCAGTAATTAGTAGTTTGCCCTGCCCTATACTAGATAGGTCAAAAGAAGTTATCTCTGATATAGTAGGTAGGTCAAAAGAAGTTATTGCTGATAATCTCTCAAAAGCAAGGCCTCTAATTCAAGTTCTTCTAGGTACTTGGGGGAAGAGGGCAGAATTTTCTCTTGAGCCTGAAGCTAAAATTGCCTTTACCTCAAAGTGATCTGCATACCACTAAGGAACATCTTGGGGTGGCTTGTTCTGGACTCTAACACAGGCCAAAGTGACTCATAAATAGCTCAGCGGTGGTAAGGATGGAGAGGAAGGTAACAATTACAGAAATATTTAAGTTAAAACTTTCTGGGTTTGTTGATCTTTTATGATTAATGCTCTTTGTATCTTATATAATAAAGCTTTGCCTATGCCAAGGCCGTGAAGAAAATTCTGTTTTCTTCTAGATGCTTTATTATTTTACCATGCATATTCAGGTCTGATTTACTTCAAATTAATTTTTGTGAAAGGTAGGAAGTTGAAATCAAGGTTTATTTCGCCCCACATGGATATCCAATTGATTCTGTCTTATTAAAAAACACCATCATTTGCCATGTCCCCCAGTAAATTCATTTTAAGTATTTTTTATTTCTCAATTAGTTTATGTACAATATTATATTAGTTTCAGGTGTACAACGGAGTGATTAGACATAATATAACTTACAAAATTATCATCCCAATAAATGTAGTACCCATCTGACACCATACATAGTGTCAATATTATTGACTATATTCCCTAGCTATACTTTGCATCCCTATGACTGTTTTGTAACTACCAATTTGTACTTATTAATCCACTCACATTTTTTGCCATCCTCCCCAAGCTCCTTCCCCACTAGCAATCGTCAAAATGTTCTCTGTATGTATGAGTCTCTGTTCTGCTTGTTGGTTTATTTGGGGGCTTTTTAGAATTCACCCAGAAGTGAAATCATATGGCATTTGTCTTTCCCTACCTAACTTATTTCATTCAACACAATACCCTCTAGGTCCATCCCTGTTTTTGCAAATGGCAAGATTTCATTCTTTTTTTATGGCTGAGTCATATTCCATTGTATATATGCACCACTTCTTCCTTATCCATTCACCTATTGATGAGCACTTAGGTTGCTTCCACATCTTGGCTATTGTAAATAATACTGCAGTAAACATATAAATGCACAAGTCTATTTGATTTAGTGTTTAGGGTTTCTTTGATTAAATACCCAACAATAGAATGGCTGGGTCATTTTTTGTCTTTGTTATAGCCTTTTTAAAAAGTCTATTTTGTATGATATAAGTATTATTACCCCAGCTTTTTTTTTTCCATTTCCAATTTCATGAAATGTCTTCTGTAAGATATTTGACTGTCAATCTGTGTGTATCTTTTGATCTGACACAGCATATGTAGACAGCATATGAAAGGGTCTTATTTGTTATCCATTCAACCACTGTATGTCTTACGATTGGAGCATTTCATCTATTTGCATTTAAAATAATTAAATGTTGATAGATATGTATATTTTACCATTTTATTATATTTTTTACCATTTTATTATTTATATTGTTTTCTGTTCTTCAAGAAGACCCTTTAACATTTCATGTAATACTGATCGGGTGGTGATGAACTCCTTTAGCTCATTTTTGTCTGGGAAACTCTTTATCCTTTGATTCTAAATGATAGCTTTGCTGGTAGAGTAATCTTGATTGTAGGTCCCTGCTTTTCATCACTTTGAATATTTCGTGACAATCCCTTGTGGCCTGCAAAGTTTCTGTTGAGAAGTCAGCTGACAGTCTTATGGGAGCTCCCTTGTAGGTAACTAACTGCTTTTCTCTTGCTGCTTTCAAAATTCTCTCTTTGTCTTTACCTTCTTGCATTTTATTTATTTTTAATTAATTAAATTTTCTTTTGAAGTTAGAACTGGCAGGTTTTAATAGTACAGTAGATATGGTGTGTGAGGCAAATAGGAGAGTCAAGGATGATTCCAGGGTTTTAAGGAGATGATGTTTTGTTTTGTTTTAATTTTTTTTAATCTTTATTGTTGAAAGTATTACATATGTACCCACTTCCTACCCCCCTCCCCCACTGACCATTTCTAGACTACCCCAACCCCAGGCTTTTACCAAGCTATTGTTTGTGTCCAGGGGTTATGCATATATGCATACAAGTTCTTTGGTTGATCACTTCCCACACACCTTCTTGCATTTTAAATATGATGTGACTTGGTGTGGGCCTCTTTGGGTTCATCTTTTTTGGGACTCTATGCTTCCTGGATTTATATGTCTATTTCCTTAACCAGGTTAGGGAAGCTTTTTGTCATTATTTTTCCAAATAGGTTTTCAATTTCTTGCTCTCTCTCTTCTCCTTCTGGTACCCCATAATGTGAATGTTGGTACACTTAAAGTTGTCCCAGAGGCTCCTTACAATATCCTCATATTTTTAATTCTTTTTTTGTACTTTGTAACACTTTTATTAAGAGTGAACCAATATCAGTATTCCTAAACTGTAAAACAATGGGGAACTGAAGTAAATATTAGGAAACAATAGGGATCCTAAATAATAGACAAAACCCCTTAAATTTTCTTATTGCTTATATACATCAATGTGTAATATTTAAGCATCACTGAACTCCTTATTAAGCAAACATTTTTTTCATATGCTGCCTTCTCTTTATTTTTCTATGCCTTTATCTTTTGAATTTCAGCAATCCTACCTGAATAGCTTTATCTTCTGGTGCTATCTCCTGGGCTTCCTTTTTCCTTTTTTTAAAAAATATATATCTTTGTATTGATTTCAGAGAGAAGGGAAAGGGAGAGAGAGAAACATCAGTGATGAAAGAAAATCATTGATCAGCTGCCTCCTATACAACCCCCACTGGGGATCAACCCTGAAACTCAGGCATGTGTCCTAATTGGCAATTGAACCATGACCTCATAGTTCATAGGTCATTGCTCAACAACTGAGCCACACCAGCTGGGCAATTTTTCTTTTTAAAGTACTTTGAGGGGCATCAGAGGATGATTTAGGTGGAAAGGGCTATGAGGGAACCATCTTGGATGCTAGAATGTACTTATATCAGTGTGTTCAGATTTAAAATTTTATCAAGTTGTACACTTAAGATTTGTGTACTTTACGCTTCAATAAAATAGGAGGGAAAGATTTAAAGGAAAGAAAATTAAACAGTCCACTTGAAATTTTAAAAAATGACATTTACAATAGCATAAAAAATGTTAAGTACTGAAAAATATATCTGACACAGCATTGCAAAATGTATACATTGAGACTTACAAAACATTGATTAGAGAAAGTAAAGAACACTTAAATGGAGAGACACTTTATGTTCATGAGTCCAAAGACCAACTCATGTTGGTTCTTCCCAAATTGGTTTATAGATTCAACATGATCCCA